GGGGGAGGCACTCGCGAGGAGATGAAAGTAGCGGCGGAGCACCACCCCGCGCCGCTGCTGCGCGATCGCGCGCATCACCTCCCCCCACCGGGTGGGGCTCTCCGCCCGCAGCACCGCCGCCGCGCGGAGGTAAAATCGGGAAAACCGCCGGGGGCATCCGCGGCGATCGCGGTTCGCCCGCCGCCGGGATTGCCGCCTTCGTCTTCCTCGCCAAACCGCTCCACCGGGGTGGCGAGAAGCAGATACCGGGCGATCTTTTCACAGGCAAGCAGAATCGCGCGATAGGTCGTCTCCGCCACGGCGCTCGCACTGCGTTGATACTCCGGGAGGTGCGAAAAGGCGAGGCTCTTCACGTGCACCCGCCGCGTCCGCGCGAGGGCGTCGAGGAAGCGGGGGCCGACGGGTTCCTCCGCCAACACCCGCTGCTCCTCCGCGCCGAAGTTGAGTTTTTCGCGAAATTCGCGAAGCGCGTGATCGCGCTGATCGACGAGCTGCAACTCCGCCTCAAGGGTGGCGAGGTGCTGCACGAATGCCGCCGTTTCCTGCGCGCGCGCGTTCGTGATCATCTCGAGTTCGCCACACCGCCGATCCAACTCCCGGACGTGCTCGGAGGCGTCTAAAAAGGTATCGTAGAGTTGTTTGAGCTCGCGGAGAAAATCGCGATGGGTGTGGATGATCTGCTCCTGCAACACGGAGCGGAGTTCAGAGACGGAGTGCGGAGGGGAGGGGGCCGTACTCGCCTTTGAAAGGCTACGTTGACGAGGCGCGGCGGTGGCCTCCCCTTCCGAGGGGGGATCCCCCGACGAAAAAGGATTTTCCGGCCGACGGGTGAAAAAATCCGGCACCACCTCGTCGATATACCCGGCGAGTTCGTTGAAATCGTCGTCGATCTCGACATCCAGGAGTTTATTCACGCGATAATCGAGATCCGCGTTGCTGTTGACGAGGAAAGCCAGCTGCCCGGCCTCGACAAGCCCCTTCACGGAGGTGGAAAGGGAGGCTCGCGGGGTTGGGGCGAGATAGGAGGCCGCTATGGAGGATGAACACGCGGAGGGAGGCGGGGGAGGAGCTTCTTTGCCAGCCACACTTCGGCTTTCCCCTTCGGAAGAATAACGCGGGGCGGGGAGGGAAAGTTTCAGATTCGGGGAGGCAATCGCGGGCGGATCCACAGCCTCCCCTGCAGGCGATGGTTTCATCGACGGGAGAGAGGCAAGGATACGATGGGGCTGGGATCTAATAACGTATTGCCGATATTTTCACTAAGTCGATCTTCTCCCACACACAGACGGAGAGAGAGGGAGAGAGCAGACGATAGCAAAGTTTTTGCTCCCTCGTGTGGGAGATGGTTCAATAGAAGAGCGAAACGAGTACGAGTTGATTAGTCCAAACGAATAAACTAAGAGGAAGAGCAATCACTCGATGGAGTGTTTGTAGACTGATAAAGGATGAAAATATTTTTTTTTGGGGGGGGGAAAAAGAGAAAGAAGAAGGGTAAAAAGTAAGCGTTCAGAAATACGGTGGCCTAGAACACACCCCTGACAAATTCACAGGGTACGTGTTACCAAATCTGATCGCTAAAGTGATCGAGAAGAAAAGTTATGTGTTCTATACATACATTTGATATGTATATATAGTCTTTGAAATATTATTCACTTGATTAACCGTGTATCCTAGCATTTTTTTTTGGGGGGAGGGTACGTTTATTTTACGTGTATATTATCCGATTATTGACATTTACACTTATTTGTTCATCCTAGACACTGCAACGCAGAAAATCCCTTGCGTTCCCCCCTCTTCACTTCTTACGCGAGCGAAAAGGTTGGGTTGAAAACCCACCCCCACGCACGGAAATCGTCCCCCGAATCCCCCCCCCCGTAAGAATAAGCATCGCCCATCCGTTGTTTGAACAATCACCTCGCCGCGAAGAGATCCACGTGGAAGGCGTCGGTGGTGGCCAAAAGCGGGCGGGAGCGACGACGAAGAGGCGATCCGCCCCCCCCTGCACGGCCGCCGAGGACGCCGTACTTCCGATACGCATCCGTGAGAAACGCGTCCGGCTGCATCGAGGTCGCGTTCACGCCGACGGTGCTCTCCACGCTCGCGTCGCCGTCTTTTCTCCCCAACCCGTCGCGATCCATGAGGACGGAAAAGGCCGCCGTTCCGAGCGGGATTGGTTTGCCGATGATAATGCTTTCCGAGATGCTCAAATTTCGATCCTCGCGCTGCGCGAGGGCGGCGTTGTAGAGGTGTTCCGTCGTCCGCTCAAACGACGCCATCGTGAGGATGTTGTAATCCATCTTTTGAATCCCATACCGCGTGATCCCGAGGACGACCCCCGGGTTCGTCATCACATCCGCGAGGAGGTAGATATGGCGGATGTCGATATTCAACCCGTAGGCTTTTAAAATCTCGTTGATTTCGTTGATGATGGTCTGCCGGGCGGCCTCAATCCCGAGCGTCCGCTCCACCGCGGCGACGTGGTTGCAGACGGTGCGGGTGCTATCGACGTAGGGGAGCGTCATCACCGCGCGGAGCTCCGCGCCCTCCGCGAGGATTTCCTTTTCCTTTTCGTTAATCATTACGCGATTCACGCCTGGGATCCCCCCAACCACCACCTCCGGCAGCAACAACAGCAGGGATTGCAGGTTAAAATGCGTCAGTTTCGAATCCCACTCGGGCGGGTAGAGCATCAGGGCGTCCTTGCTCACCACACTCACGCAATCCTCGCGGAGGCTGCGGAGTTTCGACATCGGCCGCGCCGCCGCCTCGAGGAGGCGTTGCCGCACCACCACCGCATCAATCGGGAGCATCGACCGCTCGATGAGCGGCATATCCAAGACCACCTGGATGGAATACTGCTGCGGCGAGATCACCTCCACCATCTCCTGACAAACCTCTTTGAGAAGCACGCGCTCGACCAAGCCTTGAAGCAACCGCGCGGTGCGCCACCCCGCGTCGGGGCCGTCGCCGCGCACGAGGATCGGCGCCCGGACGATCGGGGTGGCGATGTTTTTATTCGCGTTGATGATCTCCACGAGACGGGGCACGCCTTGGGTGATGTTCATGCTCGCGACCCCGGCGAAGTGAAAGGTGCGCAACGTCATTTGCGTGGAGGGCTCCCCCACCGACTGCGCGGCGATCGCCCCACACGGCGTCCCCGGTTCCGCGGTCTTGCGGAGATATTTTCGCGCGCAGGCCTCCAAAAACCTCGCGAGCATGCCCTCCGTTAACGGCAGGATCTCCGTCTGAAGCGCCTCGAGCATTAACCGCGACGGCGCGAGGGATTCCCGTGCGTCCGGAGGGAGGGCGAGCCGCCCGCGCAGCCGCCGCTGCTCCGCCACGAGCCCGTCGAAAAACCGCCCGACGTCCGCGCGGAATCGCGCGCTGCAAATCCGCGTCATCCGCCGTAACTCCTCGACCGGGAGCGGGGGAAGGGATTCGCGTGGGGGTCGTCGAGGCGCGACCCCGCCTTGGAGCCCCACGAGGCTGCTTGCCATCGCCGCGTCGTCGGCGCGATCGGCGGCCTCGCGATCGGCCCGCCGCGCGAGCGCCCCTTCCCCCCCTTCCAGCAGCCCTTCCACGAATCCTTTCACCTCAGCAGGGAGGAGCGAGAGGACGTGTTGCGCGCGATGCCGCCGCGCGAGCTCGCCGTCGGGATCCAACAACCGACGCGCGTGGCGAACGGCCGGGATGGGGTCCCCCTCCCCGGTCTTCTCCGACGCCAACCACGCGTTTAACCGCCCTTGCAACTCCGCACGACGGGCCGCGCGGGCCTGGCAAAACCGCGCGTACCCCGCCCTCACGGCAAGCCACTCCTGCTGAAGGTTCAACGGCGCCCCATGGTTGCCTTCCATCAGCCACGGATCCATCCCGTCTTCGCCGTAGCGCATTTGAATAATCGCCCCGCGCGCGTTCCGCACGGTCCCGTCGTACTGCACGCTCAAACTCTCCATCGCCTTGCTCAGACGGCGATAGATATACCCGGTCTCCGCGGTTTTCACCGCCGTATCCACCAACCCCTCGCGGCCGGCCATGGTGTGGAAAAAAAACTCCGTCGGGGTTAACCCGTCGTAGAAGGAGTGCTGCACGAACCCGCGCGCCGCGGGCGCCTCCGCGTAGCGCGGGAAATGCGGCAACGAGCGATCCTGAAACGCGTTCATGATCCGTTTCCCGTTCACCGTCTGTTGCCCGACACAGGCCATCATCTGCGCGGTGTTCAGCGCGCTGCCTTTGCTGCCGGAGTTCACCATAATCAACGGCGCGTTGCTCCGCGCGTCGAGGGTCTCCATCGCGGCGGAACCACACGCATCGCGCACCTTCGACAGCTCCGCGTTGAGCCTCGCCTCGAGGGATTGCTTCACGGTCATCCCGGGAAGGGGCACCAAACGACCGGTGTTCGCCTCAGCGATCAACGCATCGCACTTCGCGAAGGAGCTCGTCAGGACGGCGGTTTTCTTCTCCGTCAAGGCCGCCGTCGGGGCGACGTCGCCGAGGCCGAGGGAAAAGCCATAGTTCTGTAAATAACGCGAGGCGAACTGCGCGAGGCGAAACATGCACGTCGCGGTGTAATCCCCCCCCGCGATGGCGTGCAGGCGGGCGAAAAATCCATCCTTCGCGCCCCCTCCAAGCAGCTTCTTGTCAAACCGACCAGAGATAAAGACGGAGTCGAGAAAGGCCACAAAGCCTTCCGCCGGATCGTGGTGTTTCTCACCACCGCGGCCGGAGTAAAAACGCGCCTTGGCTTCGAGATTTAACAACACGTCCACCGCCTCAGACGGGCGAAGCAGCACCTCCATCACCTGTTTCCCCGTCCAGAGCTCCGTCGGCTTCAGCAGCGCGGGGATCGGCAGCTCAAAGAGCGTCTTCGCACCCAACCAGTGCGAGACCATCAGCGAAAACTGCGCGCGATCGAAGAAGACATCCCGCGAGGTGACCAAAAACGCCGCGGTCAGAAAATCCTGCGTGCAGGCGATAATCGGCTCCCCATTCTTCGCGGTGATGATGTTGCGGGAGGTCAGCATCAGCTCCTTCGCCTCGGCGCGGGCCTCCTCGGTTTGCACGACGTGCACGTTCATCTCGTCGCCGTCGAAGTCCGCGTTGTACGGCGAGCAGCAGCACTCGTTGAAGCGGAAGGTGCGAAACGGCAGGATACGCGCGCGGTGCGCCATCATCGAAATTCGATGCAGCGAGGGCTGGCGGTTAAAAAGAATTAAATCACCATTCATCACATGCCGCTCGACGATGTCGCCAACGGAAAGCCGCGTCGCCAACAGCTCCCGATCGCGCGCCCCTTGCAGCGACTTCCGCGAGGATTCCTTCGCCAGGTAGACAGTCACCGCCCCCGGGTGGACGTGCGGGCCGTTCCGCACTAAGCGCCGCATCAGATCGAGGTTGTGCGCGAAAACCCGCTGTGGGTAGGTTAAGACCCGCGCCACACGCAGCGGAACGGCGAGCTCGTCGATTTCTAAATTCGGATCCGGCGAGATCACCGATCGGCCGGAGAAATCCACGCGTTTCCCGCTAAGATTCCCACGAAACCTGCCGTTTTTGCCCTTCATCCGCTGCGCGTAGGCCTTGCAGTCGGCGATGCGGAGGTGCGAAGGGTAGCCTGGCATCGCCGAATCGAGCAGTCGCACGACGCGCGTCTGCAGCATCTCCCAGTTCTCCACATACTTCACCGTATCGTTGTTTCCATCCTTCAAGGCATCGGAGCTCACTAAAATATCGTTGTAAAGCATCGTGAGGTCGTCCTCGCGGATCTCGCCGCCCGACGTGGAGGGCCCGCTCGGCCGCACACATACCGGGGGGACCACCAACGAGCGAATCAGCAGATCCTCCGGCCGTGCGTCGTGCTTCAACCCAACCAAGATCTTCTGCTCGGACGGAATCGCACAGAAAAGCTGATACACACGCGCGGGGTCGAGAAATTCGTGAATGTGCTCGATATGGCTAGCAAGGTTTTTGTTATGCAGCAGCGCGGCTCGCATGTCGTCGCGGAAAAACGCGTCCGGGTCCTCCGCGGCGCTCTCCCCACGACGAAGGTCGACCCGGTACTTTTCATGCACAATTCGAAGCGGCCGCAACCTCCGCACGACGCCGTTCAACCCCCCACAGGTCAAGCACACCCTTGTTTTGTACGCATCCACCTGAATTTGCTTGATGATCGCTGTCTGATGCTGGGGGTCCATCGCGGCAGGGGCGCCGGGGCCGTTGGGGGCCGCGAAGGCGCCCGCCTCGAGTCGTCGTGTGTAGTAGTCGATCTCCTCTTTGGTGAGGAGAACGTGGGCGCAGCGCTTGCAGATCGTCCGCAGGATTCGCACCACCGCGGGGAAGAATCCGACGTGGAAGACAGGGGCCTCGAGGTCGATGTGGCCGGGGTGGCCGACGCACGCGGTGCCGCGGCCGTGGCAAGTCGCACAGGCCACCGCGCTCCGCGTATCGCCGACGCCGAGGTGGGGGTCGTTCACGCCGAACTCGCGCACGGCGCCGATCACGCGGCGGCAGGGCAGCGCCGACAAGCGGTGAACCGCCCCACTGGAGAGGGCCGTGTAGCGAATCGCGCGGATCGTCGCCGGGTAGGCCCGCCCACCGTCCTCGACGTAGCGCGGCGGGACGTCGTCGAGGCAGGGCGGAGAAGAGGAAGACGGGGGGCCCATCCGTCACGTATGGGCTTCCTACTGGGCCACTACCCTAGCGAATGACAACGGTCCCACGGGTATTAGGGATTTCAATCGGACACGGGGATCGTGGTTTCAGACGAAAAGCAGCAGCACCACAAGGGGTTCTCAGTTGCCTCGGTCCTTTCCTTAGTTGTGCTTTGGAGTATTGACTAAGCTAACACGGTGGGGTTTATATTATGGAGAAGGAGGGGGAAGAAAGGAAGTTGGTTGTTCACCAGTCTCCGAGAGACTATGGATAGTTTTGAGCCGCATATTCACCATAATGAATCCCAAAAGGGAAAAATGGATACTCGTCTTTTCTTTTAAGATCATAGGGGAAAAAAAGGTTACTTATAGTTATAAATAAAATAAAGGAGTACCCATCTGCGCACTCAAGTCTGTGTTCATCGCTTACTACTTCATAATAGCGATTTATTAAATATGACTGCACTAGAAGAAAAAATGAAGCCCTTAGAAATTAATAAGCCTGCCTAGACGCATTCCAAAATAACAACGTACCCCATATAGCAAACCTCCAACTCTCTTTATCCGCAGATAATTCAGTCAAACAAAAAGAGGAGCCCGCATAGAATTTAAACGAAAAGTAGGCATGTTGTCAGAAAGTGGCTCCTCTTCTCTTTCAATTTTACATCCTTAGTACTAAAGCAATAGTAACATTGAAAAAAATGTTTCCCTTTCTCGTGTTTATGCTCTACGCACACTGATTAAGCAGGTCCAAACCCTTCTTGTTTGCCCTACTGGTCTAATCTTCATCGTTTTTTTTTTACAATCTCCTTTTACTCAATTCAACCCAAGCCATTCAAGAATCGGCATTACCTTCTGCTTCATTTCCAAATCTAATTCGGGACTAACGACCTGCTTCGATTCTTTTTTCGATGTTGCCCACGCCTTAATGCTTGTATCCTTCACTACGCCTTCAATATACAGCAAGAAAAGCATCACCGCTAGCTTATCAGCGTTGTAATTCTGTGCGCAGGTTATCTGGCACTGCTTAATAAACATCTTTTGGATTTTCGCTTCACGGTTGCGTAGCTCAGTGAGCCCCTTCTCGTCGTGAGTTTCCTGGCTGGAAAAGAGCTCCGGCACGGTGTTAAAACGACGCAGTAAGAACGAGTAACGCTTCAACGTGGAAAGCAAATCCTCGCTGTGATAGCTCGCCATCATCAACAAAATAAACGCAGGAATTTGAGTCTCCTTCACGTTGTACTCCGACATCAGCCGTACCACACGTTCGATCAGAAGCCCCTTGTTCTCGCCACATTCCTTAAACACGCGGGCGAGCACATCGGTAACGTTCTCACGATTATCCTTCAGCTCCGACTTTTCAAAGGTTCGCGTTTCCTTTCGGTGGATCGGGGAGGAAACGACAGGGTTGGCGACCGAAGCAGCCTCCGCGGCGTCGGTGCTGGTTTGATCGGTTTTCTTCCGCGCTTCGGCGGCACCCTTGGCGGCTTTGGAGAGCTCCGGAAACTTCTTGTAATGCTGCCTCATCACCGTCAACACGCGATGCGGTTCTATCGTGCTGCGCTTCCCGCACGCCCCGCAGACCATCGAAATATCCGACGGATCCTTCCGCGAGGACTCCAACGCCACCGCGGTTTCCGGGTTCCCACAGTGCTTGCAAAGAACGAACTTACGAATGAAGTCGTCGATATTATCCTGCATCCGCTCCGCGGAGTGACTACCCATGAGAAGATACTTGTCATCCTTCTCCGAAACGTAGAGCTGGGCGCCGAGCTCGAACTGTAAAAACTTCATGAGAACCTTTTCAGGACGATTCATCGCCAAGCAAATATCATGGATGTTCGGGATCACAGTCTTGATACCGTTACCACTGCCCTCCACCTTGGTGATCACGGCAGGCATCTTGTAACGGTAATAGATATCATCCCGTTTGTCGGGATTCACCGCAATCATCTGTGAAGCCATTTTTTTATTTTAAAAAACAATGAAACGTGGGAAACAAAAATTATTAGCTGGCGCTTATGGTAACCTTTTCCTTTTTAATAGAAACAAGTGATCAAAAATCGACAAGGTGTAAATCTCCAGGGAGGAAAACAGGGTGAAGACGTCCTTTGAGCACGGTCGAGAGTAAGTTTTGGAAGCTTCCCATAGCCATCTATTCAGCGCAGCTCCATCCTCACTACCCAAGGTGGAGGAAAAATAGTGTTGAAAGGAAAACAAGGAATCAGACCCATAAAAGAGTCTCACTGAGGCAGGCAGCATTCTAATCACGGAGAGGGAAACAAAATATCTGCAAATAACCAGATAAATAAGAAATACGAACTTTACATTAGCGGAATGGAAATTCAAATTATAAATAATAAGTAGAGAGAAGTAAGAGCCGCAAATCCTCATTCACTCTCCGCAGGCGATCAAAGTGTTCCTCAGAAGGTCTTCCTCGGAACGAAAACGCCCGTTCCTTCTCCCTTTTCACTCAAAATATATCATCATAGAAGTCAAGTCGGCCCGATTCCAAACACTCAACCAACTCCGACGCTGAATCACATTCAGCGCAAATCTGCTCAAGATGAGAAGGATTGATACGATTCCCTGTTGCCTTGATCTCCTTCTCCTCCCCTTTGTTATCCTCCCGGCATTTTTTCTCAAAAAACCGATCCAAGGCGGTACGAATCCGCGCCTCATCCCGCCCTGTCAACGTCTTTTTCGAAAAATGATACCGAATCATCTCCACAGCCTGCTCGTGGTTCAACCCTTCCATAGGGATCGTCAACGTTACGACCCCGGCGCGTAACAAACGCGGATCCAACCGCTCCTGATAATGCGTCGTGATCACCACCACCCGCCCTGATGGCGTCGCCACCCCATGGAGGGCACGCAAGGCGTCATTCGCGCTCAACCCCCCCCGCGTGCCCGCCTCCTCGCATTCCTCCACGAGATACAACACCTCCGCGGGGTGGAGGGTGAGTTCCCGCGCGTTTGAGATTCCAAGGGAATCCGTGCAAGAGTTCTCCGTGCTTTCGTAGAAGACGAAGTCTTCCTCGCCGATGCAACGCACCACCAGGCGATCCATCCACCCCCGCAGCATCGACGCCGTGCGAAACCGATGAAGCGGGAGGATGACGACGTGGCGGCGTAAAAAACGCGCGATCGCGCGAACCAACGACGTCTTTCCGCCGCCGGAGGGCCCATAAAGAAGGAAATGAAGGTGGTGAGGGACCCCAGGAACCCCAAACCGCCCTTCCTGGCGCGTGAAATCCGTCAACACACGCTCGACAAGGGGTTTGTGCGAAAAAAAAAGCGAACGGAGGGTGGCCCCTGCTAACGTGAGGGGGTAACGTCGAATCCCGAAGGGCGGGCGATCGCCTTCGTCGGAGCTCCCCCGTGGCGCGTGCGTCTCGGCGTCGTCGGGATCCCCCCCCCCCTCTTCTCGTGGGGTTGCAATTTCCGCCTCCACGGGGGTTTTCCCCACCCCGTCATCCCCGCCTTCCAACGCGGGATAGGCGAGAAAAAGCCCGCGTCGGGTGGGGTGTTGCGCGCGCGCGTGATACCACGCGCGGGCGCGGCGGAGAAAATCCTCCACCCGACCCCCCGCGGGATCCCCGCTGGCGAGCACGAGATGCCGCCGTCCCCCTCGTTGTTGCGCGCGGCCGCGTTCGCCGGTTTCGGGTTCGTTTTCCTTTTCGCCCCCCACGTCGTCCTCCTCGCCTTCCCTTCGGTCGTTGCCCCCGCTGCTCTCGGAGTGGGCGTCGGTTGGGG